CCCCTCCCAGGGCCGTGGGGAGCCCAGGAGTCCTGCTCCCAACCAGCGCTGCCCCCCGGCCCGCAGCCCCACTCTTGCCAAGTCGCCATGTGCAGGGCCGGCCGGGGGGATGGGGCCAAGCCCCCATCCCTGGAAAGTGAAAAGGGGCCCAGAGCCGGGACTCCTGGGTTCTCTCCCCAGGGCAGTGGCGTCTAGTGGTTAGAAGGGAGGGAGGGGGGGCTGGGAGCCGGGACTCCCGGGGTCTCTCCCCAGGGCAGTGGCGTCTAGTGGTTAGAAGGGAGGGAGGGGGGGCTGGGAGCCGGGACTCCCGGGGTCTCTCCCCAGGGCAGTGGCGTCTAGTGGTTAGAAGGGAGGGAGGGGGGGCTGGGAGCCGGGACTCCCGGGGTCTCTCCCCAGGGCAGTGGCGTCTAGTGGTTAGAAGGGAGGGAGGGGGGGCTGGGAGCCGGGACTCCCGGGGTCTCTCCCCAGGGCAGTGGCGTCTAGTGGTTAGAAGGGAGGGAGGGGGGGCTGGGAGCCGGGACTCCCGGGGTCTCTCCCCAGGGCAGTGGCGTCTAGTGGTTAGAAGGGAGGGAGGGGGGGCTGGGAGCCGGGACTCCCGGGGTCTCTCCCCAGGGCAGTGGCGTCTAGTGGTTAGAAGGGAGGGAGGGGGGGCTGGGAGCCGGGACTCCCGGGGTCTCTCCCCAGGGCAGTGGCGTCTAGTGGTTAGAAGGGAGGGAGGGGGGGCTGGGAGCCGGGACTCCCGGGGTCTCTCCCCAGGGCAGTGGTGTCTAGTGGTTAGAAGGGGGTCATGGGTTCTCTCCGCAGATGGAGGAGGGGAATGGGGACTAGTGGGTAGAGCAGGGGCCTGGGAGCCGGGACTCCTGGGTTCCAGTCCCAAGGGGCCGGTGTGAGTGGAAAGCAGCCGCCAATCCCAGACCCTGCATTTGTGTTTCTATGAAAGCGTTTTACTAGCCAAAGCTCCTGCTTTCCCAGCAGTCCCTGGGTGTCGCCCAGCCCCCTGGAGCTGGGGAGGGGGGGGGTGACCCACAGGAAATCAAGGGCTGCACACCGGTGAGAGGCAAGACGCCCCTGGGGTGGGGCGAGGGGGCTGGAGTCCCGGCTTGCCCATGTGGTGCAGCCCCCCCTCAGGCCGCCCACTGCTGGATTTCCTCTTCCAAGCCCAGGGGTGAGAGGCAAGACGCCCCTGGGGTGGGGCGAGGGGGCTGGAGTCCCGGCTTGCCCATGTGGTGCAGCCCCCCCTCAGGCCGCCCACTGCTGGATTTCCACGTCCAAGCCCAGGCAGGAGCCCAGGCGTCGCTGCTGGGCGAAGGAGACGCTGGCGGCGACC